CGACCCCGGGCTGGACTCCACTTCGTCTACGGTGAAAGCCGATCCGACGATCCACAGCACGAAGTATTCCCTCAGCGACCCACACGGATCAGCTCTAGGCATGACGAAGCAGATATCGTCCTCTTTTGGAAGGCCAAACAAAGTAGTTTTGCTTTCACAATGAAACACACAGCGCCTTCACGACATGGTGGCGGCGGCAACAATACTACAGCGAGAATAAAAGTTACGCCTCCTTTCTTTGCGTGAACATTTGGGCGGCGTTATGCAAATCTTCCCACATCGTGACGTAGACATGTGGGGGCGTGTTAGAACGAGCCGTTTTAGGTAGGCGTGGCTGACTCTTAACTTTTATAAAGAATATCTCTTTGGATTTGAGACTTTAGTCTTTGCAACTTTACAGATCTTCTTTATGCACCAAGAGCTTGTAACACTTCAAAGAGAAAGGAAAAATTTTAATCACATCATATGACCCCTTTAACATTTTGGCCGAAACAGATTAGCCGATAACTGTTATCATGCCAAATCAAACAACAGATAAGTGGCCAACTTTAAAACTCTACACTGTTTTGTTTAAATAAATTAAAAATAAAGCACTAAAACTTCAAATCAATTGTTGTAAATACTACAATCAATTTTAGGCATCAGGGTGAATCCATCTCAAGAGGTCCAATGGAGGTTGCTTGACCATTTAAAATTTTCCTCATTTTGCAATACATAAAGGTAATCTCTCAAATAAATAAATAAATTAGAAAACAAACAACAACAACAACAAAACAATCAAGCAATACATTTTTGAATTTCTGGATTAACTAAAGATTAACTTAAGGTGCATGTTAGATGATGACAAAAATGAAATAGTGGAAATTAGCATGTACAACAAAAAATATTAAATATCGCCGGATACAATAAACAATATGACATCAATATATTGCATCTGTAGTCAGATTCTTTGTTTAGGCAATCTGAAGACTCTGAGCCACTTTCTTCCTGTCAATCATGTAACACTTTCAACCTCTAAAAAATGTGTCTCTCAACTTGTATTTTATTTTCTGTGTGAATGGCCCCTAAGAATGGCATTTTTCTACCATTATTTTTGACAATTTTGACAACACTGAGATAACATGTTACTGTTCTGATTACAACCATACAACTGTATCCTTGTCGGATGGGGTTTTGAAAAGAGGGGGTGTGTCCAAATCAGTAAATGATCAAGAACGGCTAACATACAGCACCTTTAATTCAACTCTTGACATTCTCTCAAAAGACAATTAACAGAGGGCTGGAAGAAGAAGCACAGGTTAAGGCTAAATGCTAAACAAAACCACATAGACACAGCTGGGTCAAGAAGAAAAAGGGGAAAAGAGAGAGGCTGACAACAGCCTCTAATTTCCCTTGTCGGATTCAGGTGGGCTGTCTAGTTGTGATCAGTCCCAAACATAATTCCAGCCTGCAGAATGAGGGACGATACATGCGGAAACAGAGGTGTGGAAGACAGCGTTTCTCTTCCTCCTTACCTCCAGCTCACACCCCCCAAACAGCCCCTAATTGAAAGACGAGAGTAGCCCAGACCTTGACAGGAGGGAGGTCAGTCTAATTGCTGCTGGCCATATTTAACATTAAGATAATCAGCCCATTAATTACCCTTTGGATCATTAAATCAGTCGCTTGCAAAATGAAATTTCGAGCTCTATTACTCACTTGAGAGACCACGAGGGAGGGTTTTCATTTATCAGCCACCAATTCTGGATGCAGAGCGCACACACCAATGCCCGAGCTGTTCACCAGGACACAAGCTCGCTGAGTAGCAGCATTTAGCGACAAAACAACACTTCAGAGTCTCAATGCTGAGACACGCTAATCAAGAACATGAATTTCATACACACTAAATACGAAATCATGTCGAAAACTCAATATTTTCTGAGATGTAAAGAGTATGCATTATATTATATTTTTATTTCAGATTTCACACATTTACTATGGTCAAATGTGCTCTTATCAAATCAGATTGAAGCCAGTTGGACGGTTACAAGCTAAATCAATTCAACCGCCCAGTTAAAGATGGGAAGACATCAAATTACACACAACGGGGCACTGACAAATGATCACATACACGCACGATCACAGGGTGGACAAAGTAGTCTTCAAATTGTCCAATTCTACATGATTTAAAGTTTATTTTTATAAATGTCTTTTATTGGGCTAAAAGAGAGTTTCCCAGCAAGGCCTCTTGAACCCCTAGAGTTTCATGAGGGAGCTGCAGGTGGTTGGTAAGAATCAGACAAATTGAATCTTAAAAAAATAATAAAGTAATAAAGGGATAGTTCACCCCAAAATGAAAATTATGTCATTAATTACTCACCCTCATGTCGTTCCAAACCCATAAGGCCTTCGTTCATCTTCAAATTAAAATATTTTTGATGAAATCCGAGAGCTCTCTGGCCCTGCATAGACAGCAATACAACTGAAACTTTCCCAGACCCAGAAACGTAGTAAGGACATCGGTAAAATAGTCCATGTGACATCAGTGGCTCAACTTCAATTTTGCAAAGCTACGAGAATACATTTTGTGTGCAAAGAAAACAAAAATAACGACTTTATTCAAAAAAAAATTTGTTTGGAGAGTACCATGACGCATGCGCACGCTTGCGTCATGAATATAAACAACGCATATTTTACCGATGTCCTTACTTTAAGGAACGACATGAGGGTGAGTAATTAATGACAGAATTTTCATTTTGGGGTGAACTATCCCTTTAATAATACTTTTTATAATAATAATAGTAATAATAATTCAGCATTTATTTGATTAAAAATAAAAAATTACTTTGTAAAAGAATTTTCAGCAGCCATTAGTATTGGTCACATGATTGTTCGGAAATCATTCTAATATATTAATTTGGTGCTCAAGAATCATATCTTATCAATAGCAAGTTTTGTTATCGACAAAAAAAAAAGTGCTGTCTCCAGCCTGTTTCCATCCACTTGGCTTTTTACCGATAAAATGGTGTGTAATCACGCCATCACAAGACAAAAACATATTTTCACATAAGTTTAGTTGTATAGCCAAAAAAAATTGCACTTGAGCCTTTTCCATACATAATTTCACATACTGCGCAAATTATATAGGCTAATAGCCTATTTGTTCCCCATCCCTTTGAAACAAAACTTTATTATACATTGTATACATAATATAATTTTTATTAACAAGTGTCATGTGTGTTTTTGTTTGTACTTTATTCTGTCATGTGACACCACAAAGAGTTTCCAAACAAATTTTTGCGACATTTGAAGTGTCGATATAAAATGTATGTGCTAAAGTTAAACGGAAAAGGTGTTTTTTCAAATGTATCTTCTCTGCTTAGCCTATAAATGTATTACACATCAACTATTAATGTCACTAAGCAAAAGCCAGTTCCAGTCAAAAGCATGAAAGAATCAAACTGAATTACACTTCGTCTATTTCAGCAGGAGTATTGAGGACGAGTAGAGATACGACTGCAGGGCTGTGTCCAGTGACTGAGGTTAATTGAGATAATATTGACCCTCTCTGTAATCTCCTTTTCTCACTCGGGGGGCCACATGCCTTCACAAACATAGATAAACAGCTAGATGAGGAACTATAATCGCATTAGCACATCGACAACGGGCGGCAGAAAATGGCGGATCCATATCGAAAGATTTTCAGAGAGGAGGGGAGTAATTAAAAGGTGCTTCAGGTGACTAATGAGGCCAGCGTGGAATAGGAAGTCGATATTTTGGTGGCCAGCAGTCAGCACTAATTTGTTATGATGGCTGGTGGGACTAAAGCCTCTCTGCCGATAATTACGTTGCTGAAGATGAAGGAGCAAGGAAAAGGAAAAATCAGATTTTAGGTTTTTCCACAGAACTCTACAAACATATGCTATAAGGCGGATTGAGAAGGATGACAAATATCAACTGCTGGACTGCTAAGAAAATTATGTTTCTGTCATGGACAAGATACAGTGTTTTCCAGGGTTCCTACACATTTTCCATTTCAAAATTCCATAATTTTCCACACTTCTCTGTAGATTTTTTTGTTTGATATGCTTTTACACTTTCACTGACTGCATACAGTTTTAAAATAATATTGTCACTGATTAAATTTATTTAATTAAAATGATTAAATTATTATTAAATATAAAATTATTGTCATTATTTTCAGCATTATATACAATATATAGTACAGTAATTTGTATATTACATTTTTCTGGCACAGTGCAAACCCACTCTCACATGTTCACAGCATGCATAGGTATTCTAGAAGTGATAACGTGCTTACATGATGAGAAGAAACCTAAACACGCTTTATAGCCTGCGTATTTTCACCTCTGACAACTGTTTGAAACTGTAATTGTGGTTTGATGATGCATGATCACCAAACAGCAAAGAAAAATCATGGGTGGCACAAAGTCTATGGCTCTATGCCAATGTTTTTTTTTTTTAAGTAAAAATAAGCACCTTGCTTATATGAAGTGCAAATAATGACAGAAATGACAGAATGCATTGATTTTGAGAAACGCTCAAACAGACACTTGTTTGAAAGAGGAAATGATGTAACTGTGTACCTGCTGGCATCAGGGGCAGGCTTTAGGCGTCCTTGAGCATTGGCTTCCCACACAGTATTAGCCAACTCATTGCCGATGCCCGACATGACCTTGATGAGCTCTAGAGGCCACTCGTCCAGGTCCAAAGAGCGGACACGAGACAGGTGAGTACCCAGGTTGCGATGAATGCCTGAACATTCTATACAGATTAAAGCCCCCAGGTTCAGACTGGCCCAATCAGGGTCTGAAAAAGCCAGATAAACAGAGACAAAAACAAAGAATAAGTCCTTAAGTTTATATACAGCATAACCACATACATATGGCATATATTACCTTGATTTTCTATATGAAAGGATAGAGAAGGTCATTCTGGGTGTTGCACCATTTAGACAGATCAATATACATAGATCAGTACATCATAATGTACATTACGAAAGGTACATGCAGATCTCAGTTTATAACAAAACTCACTCTGGGCTTCACAATCCACACAGCGCGTGTTTCCTCTAATGTTCCTGACAGACTGCAGAGCGATGGCTTCTGATTGGCTGCTCAGACGAGACTGTGGGCACATTCACGAAAGTTAATGTTTATTTGAATGGTAATGACTTCTAAAGCATGTTATGAAGCATCATTAGACGCATCATTTCATGCTGAAATGAGATTCAAAAGCAGGGAAAGAAGGGGAACTAAATAAAAAGAATAGAGGCACTCGGTAGAAGGTCCAGGGAAATGCAATTTGCCCTCTCTCATCTTTTTAAGTGGGAGAACTTGCACAATTGGTGGCTGACTAAATACCTTTTTTCCCCACTGTATACATACATTTAGACATATATTCAGCCCTATAACAAAGAGGTGTGACATTTTAATTATCTTTGCACTTGATACAACATTAGCACTTTGATAAGAAAGGATGACAGCAAATAACACTGACTACAATCATTTAAATTGTTGTTTCAAACTGGGGACCAAAAGGGTGCTAGTAGATCCATGGAAAATTTCAGAGAGGGAAAAAATATTTATTATTATTATCATCACTATAATTATTTTTACTTGAAAGTTTATTTATTTATTTTGTTTTACTCATAAGGTTAAATATAAAACTGCTTTGAAATATTTTTGAAATATTATTGCAAAAAGTGTTATAAAAATACATTTTGTTGTAACAGTTCTCTAATACGGTATTGGATCACATTACTTTAAGTTGGAAAATAAATGTTTTCATTTGTTAACAAGAAATGAAGCAGTATTTCTTCAAAAAAAAATTAAAAAAAAAAAAATTAAAGACTAAATCAAACCACTTTTTGTTTTTAGCATTTTATTCTTATAAATGAGGATTTTTGCCCTGACATTTGTTTAATTTATACTCCCTATATACTCTGTATTCAGGTTACTGTATGTACAAATTGCATTTTTTGTGTATCTTTGAATAAATTAATGGTTAATCATCAAGTAACAGATCCACTATATGCATTTTTTCTACCTTCTGTTTGCTGCTCTCACAGGACTGTAGACTCGCCAGAATCTGGCTCTCAATGGCCTGAACCCATGCGTCCCGCTCCTCATAGGACGTTGCCTCAAAATTCCATGTCTGTCCCGTCAGAGAAACAATGATGAACTCAAAGTTGTCCTCTGGTTCTAGATCGCATGGGAGAAAACATTCAAGATGATTACTAATCAACAGCTACAACACAGATACCATATTTTCCCCATTAAGTAGTGTATGTGATCTTTGAATATTTTGGTCTTTTTTTGTTTGTTTGTTTTGATGCAACTCTTGAACATTTCATGAATGTGGTCTTAATAAAATTATATGAATGATTAACTCGAACACTTTGCTTGTACTGTTCTAAGATAAAAGTCCCCAGGAAGGATTCTCGCCCCTGTAGAGCACCTGTTAGCTGTGGGACATACTCCGCAACCCCTGACCTGGGGGGCTTGCCCCACGACCCTGGTCAGGATATGCCACTAATTACAAACCAGACCAGACTAGACTCCCGCTCTTTCCAAGCGTGCTGCTGGTCCTGTCCACAACACTCCCTAGGCAAACTGACATATGGATCTGCTATCCAGGACAGAGAGGAAAAAACTACAATAACGTGGCCCGGAATCAAGCTATTTTCCACACAATAGACTCTGTAAAATCTGTATGGGATAGATTTACTATCGTAGTCTTATTGTCTACATGCCACACTTGATCCCCCCACACAAACCATTCTTCGCCTTCTAATAACATCAATTCCATGAAGTTCGGCTCTTAACATCTCTCGCTCTCATTTGTAGGTCTTAAAAGACATTTCAAAATGGCTTTTGTTGATCACAGAGAGCAACTTTTAATTTAAGATATGAATGGTCCTTTTTCCATACCATTAGGAAGCCATAAGACCATCTTCGTGATTTTTTTTGTATTACAGTAATTAAAATTCAGAGGGAGATTTTGCTTAACTAATGAAAATAATGTCACAATGCAATCTTAATGGTCCTAAAATAAGTTTCATCGTCTTTCAGCAAAATAATATTTCTTTCGATTTTGGAATGAAATATGATCCAAAGTTTTTACCTGGTTTTGTCACATGAGATATTAGCAACACAGTGTTTCAGCACCACCATGAGAGTACATGTAAATGTGTGCATGCTCTATAAAACACTATGAGCGCAGTACCTGACCGTGACAGTATGTGTGTGTTATATAAAACACTATGAGTGTGTTACCTGGCTGGTGGAGCTCATGAATAACAGAGAGGCTGACAGCCTGATCCCTCAGCAGGCCCGCGGCGTGACAGCACTCCCCGGCCCCACACACAAGTGCTTAATGGCTAAATTGGGAGACTGTTACTAATCGCTTATTGAATAATGAAAGTGACACAGCTGATAAAAGATTTCAATACTGAAGATTATTTATAATATTTCACTTAAGTGCCTGCCTGACGAATGGGGGCTGGGGAAGAGGCCCGGGCAGCGTCTGACAACGTTCAACCTTTTCAAAAAACGTGAATCAGGGCAAGACAAAGTGGCTCTCCAGGGTTAGGAAAAAGAAAAGGGAGGAGGGAGGATGGAGAAAGAGTGAAAGAAAGATAGTGATGGCGAGGAACAAAGAGGGGGTGAGTGAGGTAAATTAATGCAACCCCATTTCTCACAGAAGACCCCTACAGGTCAGAAACGACAAGAAAAATCTCTTTGTTTCAGTACAAATGTATAAATGTTACATTTGAAAATATAAAATGTGTTAAACAGGTATGCCACAGTAAAGGAAGAATATAATTCATTTTCATATGACCCCAGAATATCAATCATAATAATCACAGCTTCATTAACAGATTGTGTGTGTGTTTTTTTGGTAACTTTTACATTTTTTAAGAGTTTTCCAGATTACATTGGAAAATAAAATGTAAGGTTTAGAGATTTATCAACCAAGACTAAATAACATTTTGAAACAATGTTCATGTATCTGCCTTCTACAATCTAAAGACTATCAGGGTTCTCATTTCCCATGATTCCACTCTTCCATGACCACATGGTGGCACCATAGAGAGTATTAAGTGGAACAGATGGTCTCTCAAAAATCTCAAATTCTAAGGTCATGGTAGAGATGGTACAGTGGTTCTCAACTGGTTTTGCTTCAATTCCCAAATTTTACATTGATGACAATCCAATCCAACACTACAAAATCAGACATTGCATCACTATGAAAATTGACTGGCAAAATGATTGTGCATATTAACATACACTAACATTCGAAAGTTTGGGGTTGGTAAGTTTTTTTTTTTAAAATAGAAGTCTATATACTCACCAAGGCTACACTTATTTGAGGAAAAATACAGTAAAAACAGTTATATTATGAAATATTATTATAATTTAAAATAGCCGTTTTCTATTTTTTGAAATGTAACGTATTCCTGTAATGGCCATTCCTCCAGTCTCAAGTGTCACATGATCCTGTTGTTAAAGATTTTTGTGGAAACGGTGATATATATATTTTTTTTTCAGGATTCACTGATGAATAGAATGCTTATTTCATTTGAATAGAAATCTTCAGTAACATTATAAATGTCTTTACTGTCACTTTTGATCAATTTTATGCATTCTTGCTGAATGAAAGTATTAATTTCCTTAAAAAAATCTTTCTGACCCCAACCTTGTCAATGGTAGTGTATGCTACATAATTTATTTAATACTAAAATATAATTTATATTATAATAATTAAGTACACAAAACATTGCAATGTGGATATAATGTGGTTATAAGTTATCCGCATGTTTAATTTAGTCTTGGTTTTGCTTTTATTTTATTTAGTTTGAAACTGTAATGAAACCTTTCCATGTTTGTATCTGTCTAATTTGACTTGCTTCTACCAAGTGACCAGAATTAAAAAAAAAATACTGCATGATGCCTATATATATAATACCATTTTATCTATGCACTGTAAGAGAAAATATTATTTTCCTATGTATATTCAATCAATGCCACTGCTTATACATGATTAATCTAGTCAATCTTACATGAGTTACAAAGATTTCTTTAGCATTGTTTTCTGTTCTGTCCGATAACAGATCTGTGATCCATTTTTTTGGGTCACGACCCCCTAGTTGAGAACCATTGAATGCATAAATATATGATATTTAATACAGCTAGAAATATGCCGAATAAATTTCATTCTGATACACACTGCATGTGACACACTGATGTATATATATATACACATGCACACATACTCTTCCCTCACGGACAATTTATTGGCCCCCTTTGGGAGAGGATCAATAAGGGTGATTGGGAACATTTTAAACAAGCACTGATCCTCGGCTCTCAAGAGGCCGCGGCCACCCACACAAGCCCATTCTAATTAATCACACACTCTCTGAGCTGACACACACTCATCCATCATTCCTACATCATTCCTCTCTCACACACACAAACACAGACAACCTTACGACACTTCAGAACTGTACGCTAATCCTGTCTAGAGGTTATGAACTACTTCCTGTAAACTGAAGACCCATTTACACCAAGTGTTCCTGAACATTACATTGTAATCTAGCAGTTTTTTTTCCAGTTGCAAATAAATAAACGTTTATGTTAATTTAGTTTAATCCAAATTTTCTTTCAAAGAGTAATACAAGTTTGTCATTGGACATGTTTGATAAATATTGAAACATTTTTACCATTTAATGTAACCCTTTTCTAATTTAATACATTTTATAATGTAATGTGATGCAAAGCTGAATTTTCAGCAGCCATTACTTCAGTCTTCAGCGTCCCATGATCCTTCAGAAATCATTATAATATGCTAATTTGGTGCTCAAGAAACATTTCTTTTTACTATCGATGATGAAAACAGTTGCTGCTTAATATTTATGTGGAAACTGTGTGTATGTATATATATATATATATATATATATACACACAGTATCTCACAGAAGCGAGTACAACCCTCACATTTTTGTCTTTTCACAATCTTTTCATGTGACAACACTGAAGAAATGACACTTTGCTACAATGTAAAGTAGTGAGTGTACAGCTTGTATAACAGTGTAAATTTGCTGTCCCCTCAAAATAACTCAACACACAGCCATTAATGTCTAAACCGCTGGCCACAAAAGTGAGTACACCCCTAAGTGAAAATGTCCAAATTGGGCCCAAAGTGTCAATATTTTGTGTGGCCACAATTATTTTCCAGCACTGCCTTAACCCTCTTGGGCATGGAGTTCACCAGAGCTTCACAGGTTGCCACTGGAGTCTGCTTCCACTCATGATGACATCACAGAGTTGGTGGATGTTAGAGACCTTGAGATGCTCAATAGAGTTTAGGTCTGGAGACATGCTTGGCCAATCCATCACCTTTACCCTCAACTTCTTTAGTAAGGCAGTGGTCGTCTTGGAGGTGTGTTTGGCGTCGTTATGTTGGAATACTGCCCTGCGGCCCAGTCTCCGAAGGGAGTGTTAACATGCTTGGATACAGCACTCTGTGAACAGCCAGCTTCTTTGGCAATAAATGTTTGTGGCTTACCCTCCTTGTGAAGGGTGTCAATGATTGTCTTCTGGACAACTGTCAGATCAGCAGTCTTCACCATGATTGTGTAGCCTAGTGCAGTGTTTCCCACCCTTTTTTTAGTCACTTTAACAACTTTGTGGCACCCTACAAAATTTATGTATATGTATATTTGTGTCAGATATTTGTAATATTATTAATTTTTTTGTCCATGGAGGCAATCTGTAGGCTAATTTCTAATGAGGAGACCAATTTATATGACAGATTTTAATGTAGGCTTT